GTTTTATACTAGTTCAACTTGAAGCTGTTCTAATATAATAAATAGCCACTCATCCGAGTTAAAAGATTTCACTTAAAAAAATCAAAACTCGAAAAAGCATTGATTTTATTAAATTTTAAAGAATTTAAGTAAATGTATCCCAAACATGTCCGTGTCCTTCTTTTTCAGAAAATTACATAAAGAGACTTGTCCATGTCCGTGACCGTGCTTCTTATCCAGCCTCTTACACTCACTTTATTTCCACAAGTTAATAAGACATGTTCGACGTGCAGAATTAAAAGAAAAAATGTCAATTGCCAAAAATTTTGTATCAAATAATCTTCCAAATAATATATCAATCCAGACATCGAATGGCAAATCCAGATTCCATTCTGTAGTCATTTCCAATTCAGTTCCTAACTTCATTTTCTTTCCACTGGAACCATTTCTTGCTAACCAAAGACTGCCCAATTGAAGTTCTACAAATCTACAAGCCAATGTAGGTGGAATCCTACTAGCACTGAGTGGATTCTCAGATCTAAATGCAAATCCTGTATCTCTACACGCTCTAGGAAGATGCCCTTTAAGCTACTTTCAATATAAACAAGACAGGGCAGTCTCATTCTTCAGACATCTATCTCCAGTTTCTTTGAAAGATATAGGGCAATTACCCTGAGATTCTAGCAGAAAATCAAAAGGCAGGCATCTGCATTTTAATGTAGAAGGAATGACTATATTAAGTTTTATAGTATAACTCAAAGGGCATGCATATTCATTTGCCTCAATACATGTACTAAAATAAAACCAGGAATGAAAAATTAGAAAAACTTCATCTCAGAATTTAAGAGTGCTTGAGTTTCTTAACAAGGCGAACATTGAAATATATGACATCTAGAACAAGCATAGTACAGAAGCAGGGTTGCAGTTCCATAATTTCAATGACTCATTTTCACATATCCTACACCCAAGGACTGAAGGCTGACTACAATATCCAATTAACTTTTACCCTCTAGATATAATTTATGTAATGATATTTTGCTACTTACATGGATTATCTCAACTCAACAAAGCCTTATCCTGTACTTATCTACAGTTGGTACATTGATCCTCCTTTTCCACTCAATCAATAGTTCCTACTTCCATGGCTCACAAGCAAAACTAAGCACTTGTTTGATTCCCTTTAAAATTTTAATAGACGTTTCTCTCTTCTTTTCAACCACATATTCTTGGATAAAATAATAGTACTCATAAATCAAAAACTTTTCCTTCTTTTTTAACCACACATTCTCCCAAAAACTACTATTCCAAAATACATTTTATCCAAATTTCTCATTATAATGGTTGTCAAACAGGGGCTAAGATCTAATAAACAATTTGAAAATTGGATGAAATCACACAGTTATAAGCCCCATCATAGTTGGAACAAATGATCAAGATAAAGATGAAAATATGTACCTCAAGAATTCATTTTCTAGCTTCTTCATTCTACCCATCAATTCTTCAATAACTTCTGCAAAATGCTTATCGCCATTCTTGCTTGATGGCGTGCCCTCAGCAGCAAGCCTACAACATAATTTATTTATTGAGATTGTCATCAAAACTGAAAAATAATCGTATGCAACTACTACAAATTCCAAAAGATCAAATCCTTGACATGATAAAACAATTTCAACAAATATTGAGTAGCTCTTACAAGTTTATTCCATTACAAGCCATATTTGAATTAATTGAGCAAGAAACTGCACTGCACGCATCACCTAGTGCCATTCTAGAGACAGAGTAAGCCACACTATCATAATTTAAACTGGCATCAGCAGAGAAAACTGCAGCGGATGGAGGGCGAAACAGCCGCTGCATAAGCTGTGTTGTCATGACCAGCCTTCTTTTTGATCTATGAATAGGTGGTCCATCTTCAATGAATTCAACATCATCTTCAACCTAACCCCAGATAAGAAGACAATGAACATAGCAAACCCAACAAAAATAAAAATAAAAAAATAAAACAATTGAGTATATGAACAAGGAAGAGCACAGTTAGCAATCCCAATATACCTTTTCAGTTAGACAATTTGCTGCTTTTGCCCATTCTACTGCTGCTAAGCTGAAAACAGTAAAATTCATGACATTAGAAGCAAAATGTTAAGTGGATTAGAGAGATATTTGAACGCCACAAGAATCACATTCTTCCTAAGAACAGGAGAGAGTAACAGAAAAATCATTGGAAGAGGATAACACAGAAAAAAAAATATTTGTCATAACCACCTGTGAATCTGAAGGTTCTGTGAACCCTGTGATATTTCTTTGTGCCAAGGGTGAAGTTTAGAAGTATCATTCTTCTGCTTATTGGGCCCAGTTGCTACTGATGTGGGTGCAGAATTAAAGATGCGACCAACTTGACATGTATTAACAGCATTGGTAGTTCCGTGCTCCATCAGACTAAGTGCATGAAAATTACCGGAAGATTTTGAAAGAGGAAAAGATGGTTCTGCAGTTCTGAAAGAGGTGACTGTGTGTGGCATTTGCCCAATAAGAACAGGAGAGAGTAACAGAAAAATCATTAGAAGAGGATAACACAGAAAAAAAATATTTGTCATAACCACCTGTGAATCTGAAGGTTCTGTGAACCCTGTGATATTTCTTTGTGCCAAGGGTGAAGTTTAGAAGTATCATTCTTCTGCTTATTGGGCCCAGTTGCTACTGATGTGGGTGCAGAATTAAAGATGCGACCAACTTGACATGTATTAACAGCATCGGTAGTTCCGTGCTCCATCAGACTAAGTGCATGAAAATTACCGGAAGATTTTGAAAGAGGAAAAGATGGTTCTGCAGTTCTGAAAGAGGTGACTGTGTGTGGCATTTGCCCATTTTTAAAAGTTCCATACTGATTAAACCAGGATGGAGCCGTCTGAGGACTAACATGAGGTTGCTCAACTCTAGTATCACTAAGATAGTTGCTTTGTGAAACATCTGGACCAAAACCAAGTTTTGTAGCTATATTTCCATGTTGAGAAGATATGTTACTTTCCAAAAAGTCAGCTGGCTTGGAAAAGCTTAGAATCCCTCCATCTCCAGAAGAAACTGTAGTACTAGAACCTAATGAATCTACAAGAAAAGTACCGTGTTCATTTGACTGCCTTGTGTTCAAAGCTACTTGATGAACAGTCAGACCATTATCTGGTCCTTTTATTTTCTTTGAGACCCTATTGTTTGGATCAGTCTCCGCATCCTTCATGGCCCGCTTTTGATTTAGCAAGGAGAAATTTTGATGAGAGAAACTATTTGGCTTCAAAGATTGACCAAAGGCTTCAATATCCTTTTGTGTTGAAGCAGAATTTGCAGGAGAATCATCAGACAGATGGTTGATGGAGGCAGATTTTCCAAGTTGTTGATTAAAACGTTCTTTCAACGTTTCCTCTTCCCCACTGACACATCGGGAGTTTGTAGGAATTGCACCAAACTCAGATGGGAAATTCCTTTCTTTTCTCACATCATGATCACCTTGAGCCAGTGGGATGGAAGTGCTTGATTCCACAATATTTGGCAGGGGAGACTGAAAAAAATTTGATGACACCGTGTGATACGGAGCACCCAAAGTATTTTTGTTTGTAGGAACATTGGCCCACATATTACGCAGCAGTTGTGCAGCAGCACCATGTTGAAAAATGTCAGACCTGGAAAAAGGCTGAGAAGCCGGCACGTGATCATTGGCTGACATCATCGCAGCTTTCCCTCTTTCTCGTGGATCATTAGTGCCAGTTCGTTGTGACATACCCTCCAATGAAGCCAAATTATCATGTGCAACACTGCCAGATACATCAGGTGAAAAGGCCTCCGCAGACCCTTTTAGGATAGACTGTGAAGCATTATTCTTTGACGACAAATCAATAGGTTGAGATCTCTGTCCTTGTGTCCTAGTTATCTGTTGATTTTGAAAATGACTTCCTGGATAGGGAAAACTGGAATTGAGAGCAGAAGAAAAATTTGCAGGTATCTTATACAGAGAGGCTTCAGTTCCATATTGTCTCGGAGATCCAGATTTGTTATTTTCAAATTCAACCAGGGATTGTTCATTAGAAAGAGGAAAAGATTGAACCGAGGGTGTTGAAGCCATATTCTGGTCCTTCTCTCCAATTTCTCCAGCAGTACGACTAAAATGCAAAGAGTCAAAAGCATGTTGAGCATTCTGAGAAGACAACAAACGGTCAGGTTTATGAATGCGTTGAGATGGGGGACCAAGTTGTAATCCAAAACCTGGAGAGACAGAAGATTGAGTATTTTGAAGGCGGCCAACTAGCCCATCCCAGTTTTCTGCTTCAGGCAGTTGAGATGGTCCACTACCATTTGAAGAATCAAAGTGCCTCACAATACCTTGATCCCTCGATTGATCCACCTTGTGAAGAAGATCCAGCATGTTTTGACTGGATAGAATAAAAAAGTCAAAGAAAAGCTAATGCTGCAAAAATTCCACAAACATACATGAATAATGAACTACCTTGATGGAGAAGCCTTGTTTGATGTGTGTGTATCAACTGATCTGCCATAGCCAGACTGGTTCTCAAGGGATGGCCCCTCATCAGGGTTTTTACCGTCTATTTGAAGATCAGAAGACTGCCCCTGTAATTTAAAAAGTATGAAGAGTTTTGGACTTATCGGCGACAGGTGTTTATTCATATATGTTATATATAGTTACAACTCACCTTTTCCACTACTATAGAATTCTTTGGAACCTGACCCAGAAACTTTGACAGCTCAAAGTCGTTATTTTGTGAGGACATTCGCTGTACATGGGTAGGTTGCTTGAAACCATAGGAAGGTTCGATATCCTCATCCAGGTTTCCCATGGGATGATACTGGAACTTGTGAGTACCAGAAGCTTTATGGCCAGGCTCAGTGATTGACTTTTGTTTCCCTGGGGCCAGAGATTGTGAATCACTAGCATCTGACATCCCACGTCCCATGAAACCAGCAGAAGTGTGCTGAGATAAGTTAGACTGACGGCTGTCATTAGAATTATCCATCAGATCATAATTCTTCGTCTCATGTCTTGCAATTTCCTCCTTATTGCCTTCGTTAACCTGGTGCAGCATTCTCCCCAAGCCGTCACCCCCTGGGGATTTAACCAAAGAGTTGGCATTCTTCTGTTGTTGAAATAAATAATTATTTTGAACAAATGGACTGGTTTCTTCATCAACCCTTGTGGTTACTGAGTTAGGTACTAAAGCAGCATCATTCAAACTCCAACCTCCTTTATTTACTTGAGGACTACCCAATTCAACAGTTGAACTTGGAGCAGAATTTAACGTCCATGAAGAACGTCTATAATCCGCTGCTTCATGTATCGCCTTTATTGGATTGCTTTGAGAATTTTGTGACAAGTTTCCAATCTCACGGTCATTTACCACCCGATCTCCACCATAAGAGAGAGCTGATGAATTATTACAATTGTTTGGCAGTTGTCCAGCTCCACTGTGCTCATGGACCAAAGGAGTAGAAATGCTCTTAGCATTTTTCTCTACATCAAGAGAAGGTTGTGAGGCATTCCTATACATCTGACTCCCTTCAGCAACTCTTTGTAGTGAACTGCTACCCGACCACTTGCCTTCTTCCTCCAAGGAAACAGGCCTTTGAGACTTCTCAGGCTGCAGTCTTTGACGAGGTCCACCTTGAAACTTGGGTCCAAAATGATTGAATCCCATAAAATTCTGGTATTGGTTGTTAGTATTGGTGGCATCACAAGGAGCAGCAGATCCAGAACTCATAGTTGAAGGCAGTCGCACATTGTCACCCACCAAAGATACCTCTTGTTTCCCATGGTTATTGTACATAGAAGGGTGCTTGTTTCCTGAAGGGACCTCAGCATTGTTATAAATTAGACCACTCCACTCATCCTGCAACCCCATATCACTGCTAGAAGTTTCTGCAGCAGCTGACTGCATAAGAGCGCTCCAACTACCACTTTGAAGAGAGGGAACCCCATCCAATAACCCACCACTATCAAATAAATTAACAGTTTCGTCACTCATATTATTGCTCTTGCCCAAGGCAGCCCACACATTATCATCTGAACCAAACAAAATCTTTTCTTCCATGGGATCCAGGGCACCATCATTCCGAGACGAAGCAACTTGCTTTGTTGGTTTTTCAGTTGAGGCTTCCTGTGGAACAGAGAGCTCTTGCCTCCCCCAGAAGTCCTGCTGAGGTGTGTTTCTTTGCATGGGATTCACTTGTTGGAGGATCTCCATATTTATCCCAGTACTTAAAGCTTGACTAGAAGTATGTCCAATCTTTTCATTCTGAAATCTCTGTCCAGATATCAATGCCCTGCCCTGTACACTAATCTGATCTTGCAAACCAGTATATTGTCCTGGAAGAGAATTACTATTGGTCGACATTTGCATCATAGGAGATCTATCCTTTCCCATCTGTGAATATTGGTTTACAGCTACACCCCTTGAACTAGAAACAGGAACTCCATAAAGAGATTGATCAACCTGTTGAGGCACCAAATCCGCTAAGCGTCGTGTCTGACCAAGATTCGGATTAAAAGCAAGTCCACTGGAGGCATGATGCAGCCAGTTTGCATTACCATGGTCGACCATCCATGCATAATGTGATGCTTCAGAATTTGGAGTGTCATTGTTAAGAGAGGACTGGCTACCAGATGCCTGTTTAGCAAAGGGGGAAATCTGATTAAACAAATTCCTTTGCTTTAGATCTAGTTGCTGCTGTCTTTGAAGCTCTTGCATTTTCTTGATAAAGGCTTCTTGTTGCACTTGCTGCATGTCGTTAATCCCAGATTGTTGATGTTGCAAAGATCGCAGCATGCTTGATTGCTGAAAACTCATCGGCTGCTGACCACCAAAAAGATCAAAACTTAAGGGAGATATTGCTTCTGAGCTCAATGAAGTTTTTGCTTGATGTTCAAGGCCGCTCCCTTTCTGGAATTCATGGATAGATAGGCCTCTCGAGGCAGTTAGAAGATGCTGATCAGAATCGGCATCCACTGTCACAGAGTTAGCTTCAATAACCTTCGTCTGGTGAACCCGATTTTCGTACGTATAGACATTCAAATTTGGCTGTTCGCTTTGGTACTGACTTTTAGCAAAACTAGGCCTCGCAGTAGTTTGATCGAAATTCGAGCCATGTGAAGCGTGAAGGGCATAATTGCCCTGTCCTATACCTCTACCTGCCCAAGGAAACATAAGATAACATATCAGAAAAGTAATTATACAAGGATCAAATTACGGGAATCAATGACAGGTGACAAAAAAAATTATGTAAATGCTTTTCTTTCATTGAGAGGAAAAGTAAAAAGAAACAAACTAATCTACAGAAATATAACAAAATATTTGAACTTGTCTCTCAAACAGCCAGTTACCTGAGATATGTGAACCATAATTTTTTGAATCAGAATGTGATAAATCAAATTTTCTCTGGCTGCCAACCCAGAAATTGTTGTTTAGCACAGGCCGATTCCCTTCTACAATTTGTGAATGATGCTGTTCCTGTGACAAGTTGTCTTGTGCAAAGAAATTGTGGACACCATCTCCGAGTTCATTGCCAGGCATAGATGGTTGACACCCAAAATTTCAGCTTTTGCGCATTGGTACACGAAACTGACAAATATAGGATCGACTACCTAAATTTCGAATTTCTTGCGCACTGGTACATGCATACAATGTCATAAACTAGTTATTTTTGACAAGCAAATAGAACTTATTGAAAACATCATAATTCTCTTAAAACTAAGAGCCAACCCCGTACACCTTTCCCTGAATAAGAACAGTAGAGACAGTCAATAAAAACTAAACCCTTGTTTGATATCCTTTATTTTATCATAAACCAATGTTTTCTATAGCAGCTGTGGGCCCAGATGTCAAGGTGTGTAATCATATCACTTCAAATCAATTTGTTTCTTCCAAATCTACTCTCCAATCAATTTGTACTATTAAATTAGAATTGTGTCATTCAGGACAGCAATGGAAAATCAAATTCTGAACGGGTGTCTGCATGAAAATGAGAAAAAGGATGTCAGATGGATCGGAAATATTTAATTAATATAGCACTGTAGAAAAAATTAAAACACTTTAAAATGCCAAAATAAAGGTTATAAACAAGGGCCAAATATACTGAATGAAGCTAAAATAAAGAGTAATATCTGTAATCGGTATAATGACTATTGGTTATATAATAAAAAGATGCAACAGTAGGCTATCAATCATTTTAAAAGAGAAGTCAACATTTCCCAGCCATAATGTCCCCAAGTCTATGATTAGACAACCTTTTTTTTTCTTTTTTGGATAGGCAATCAAATATTTTATTAATCACGGATAATACACAGGAAGTGTATTATCAATTTATACATGTTTAGACAACTGCAAGCACTACGCACTATTCTCCAAGTGCTCCATTTTGACCCAAGAATCTGCATAGATAAACAACATAAATACATATATGTGCACAACGAAAGCACGTCAATGTTTGTGTCTATTAGTGAGTGAATGACTTGGAGGCAAAACCTACATTTATTTGGAGGGGGAGAAGCTCCAAGCTGAAGCTACAAAATTAACTATGTTGCTTTCATCTCCAATTAGAAAAAAGTGACCCATACAATGATCTAGTGGAGTCTCGAAATGAAAAAATTAAAAATAAATAAATAAATAGGGAAGTTTTCATATATGATCCAATGTAAAAAAGAGTTGGGTGGTGCGAGAACTAATTTCCTGAAGAAATACTGAACGCTTAAAATCCTTGTTTCCGCTTTTTCTTATTTACTATCAATTATTTATTTGAATTCAGATTTTTACTTCTTTAATACCAATTATATTTTCAACGTATCTTAATTTTGAATGCTGTAACAAATTTCACAATATTGACTTTAATGTTTGAATTGTCTATGGGACCAAATTGGCATAAAAATTCTTGATTATCCTTCATTTTATTCATTTTTTTAATATAAAATCATAAATGAATTGTAGGTGACAAAACAAATATGCTCCAATATTGATTTGTTTCCATATACAACGTAATCAAAGGAGTTCTAATAGCAATAAAAAATAAAATTTTCAGTTTAAAATTTATATTTATACACTGTCCGCCAATTTTTTCTGCCTGAATGTTTGCATTAACTATTTTCTTGGTCATAGAGAGCATATGATCAGGGTCACCGTGCTAAATTACTTCATAGAAATGAATATATACTTTATAGTTGTCATGGCTAGGTTAGATAGGCATTGATCACTGTCAGAGTGCCAAATTATTTCAAAAACTTCAGAGTAGCAACAGCTACACTGTGCACATATTACGAAAATATTCAAAAAGTACAGCAGGAAGTATCCTGAGATTTGAAGTTAAGTTGCAGGTCACCAAACGGTCATCAGTCGAAATTGCAAACGTGACATCACTATTGCCAATTTTATCCTAAAAATAAATTGCTGAAGTCACAACTAATTTAATCCAATGTTGCCAAGATCTGGAGTGGAACGGCCTGTTCAACCAGAAAAACATGCAATTGGTCTGGTTTTAGGTTTAAAACACCAGAAAAACCTACTCAATATCACACCTATTACGTGCTTATCCACCTGATAACTACCAAGACCTATTTAAACCATAAAATATCACATTCAAACATGAACTTATTTCTCCTTATTCAGACTAAAACTATATTCTCTTACCCTCATAATTTAGGAGCCCGATAAAAAATTAAAGCAATAAATGGATATACAGGCCTTCTAAACTAAACCTCCCTAGACCTAACCTTTCTGATGTTCTGAATATCACCATCAGCACCACCAATACCAAAAATTAAAGCGTTAGTAAAGTAAAATGTTCAGAACAACTTTTTTATTGAAAAGTCCAGTGGCTACAAGCCTAGAACAGAGAAAAGAAAAGGTGGGAATATGCGAAACTGAGAGATAATAGGCCAAGTGTTAGGCTTGAGGTTGGGGGTATGTTTAGAGCTACTAACCATTTCATAAAGTCATGAGAGAAAGAGAGACTAAAAAGAATACTGACAGATGCACATGATGCAGTTAAGAATTTAAGGTTAGGGGGAGTACTAGGGTGGATTTAATATGAACTCCATTGTATTTTATTAAAACATAATTTGCGAGCATAGCACTGGCTCAAATTTTTAAAGGTCACCATGGTGAACATAGTAAAACAAAAGGTCAAATTAAAACAGATAAGATAAAAATGAGAATATAAGTCATTGAAGTGACACTGATTGAGGATAAATTAAGGAACAATGGCTTAGGTAGTTGCGGCATATCTTGTATAGACCTAAAGAAACTATCATTCACGTCCAAATACCTCAATCGACCTACTGCTCAGAGTAATTGCTCTCGAGATCAAAAAACTCTAATAAAGAGCATTAACTAACCACTCCCCATAGTTCCATTAAAGTAAAATATGTCAAATGATAGGAAGACACATTTTTTATTTCTTGGATCATCTAGAAGGCCAATTTCACCCAATAGTAGTTGCAATTATATCTACATTAAACACTTCACATGTTAACCAGTTACAAAGTGGTCTACCATTTTGTTTACTAATATGAAGTTTCATACATTTCGTAACCTCCTCCCAAACCTGCAATTTCTTATAAGATGACACAGTATGTTTTTAAGCATTTCATTCACCACTTAACAAAATTTTAGCCATCATGTTCAACCAAAAAGTTGTAACTTTCACAAATTTCGTTATGAACAGACCAAGTTAAAAATCAATGATTGAAAGAAAAGGGGTTAGGAAGCCAAGAATATCAATCCGAGGAGAAGTCCCAGAATGTGTGACAAAGCCAATATATTCCCATCCAGTCGACACCACTGAGATCACCTATATGCATATAGACACACAGTCCATATTTACAGTACGCACATACAACATACATGTAGTCAGATAATATTCACCAAACTTGACATAAATAAATAATCCTAAAAAACAAAGATCGCAAAATTTACAAACCACAGATTGACTCTGCAGTTCAAACCGGAACATAAAAACAAGCTGAGAATATCAAAATACACGTAGTAAACACCTCGAATCCCGCAAGCCTAACCAACCTTATAGAATTTGTACATCAGAGAACACGATCAAACTATCTGACGCACATATTTACACAGAAATACATGGGCGAGCACAGAGAAAAGATAGGGTTTGCGATAAGGGGAAAAAGGGACTTACGTGAACATCGAGATGCGAATAAAAATAGAAAAATGAGCTGAAAAATTTCGATCGTGCGTTATTGACCTTAGAGTTTTGAATCGGCAAACGGGAAAGATTTTTACCGAGAGAGAGAGTGGTAGGAGAGATAATGGAGGAAGAAAATTAGGTGTCTTTGCCGTGAAAAAAGATAAAAGTGGGGGAAATTTTCAACGAACTGTTGGAGTGGGGGCGGAGTTGGGTTCGGGTGCAGAGTCGAAGGCTCGAGACTCCCGAACCGGCTTCGGCTAAGTTTGATTGGTGAGTGAGATTGTGACATTTTCTCTTAAAACATATTTTTCATGTGGAAGTTTCCGATATGCCATGATTTCGATAGAAAATGAAAAATGAATTCCACTTTCCCACTTTTACCATGTTTGATGGCAATTTTTTTCTATGAAATTTGTTTTCCGTTTCCTCCCATTTCATAAATCACATGTGAAGTTTACTATTTCAAAAATCAAACATTTTATCAGTATATATATATATGTGTGTGTGTGTGTAAATTAATTAATCCCAATTCATCCCAATACCGTTTCCAAAACCCCCTTCTCTCTTCACTCTCTTATCTCCCTTCTCCACACCATCGCTGCAAATCAGATTAGTGACCCACCACCACAACAAGTTTGGCTTTTCTCTGGTGAGACACACTTTGGAGGTGTGTACGTGGTTGGCGGTGCTACAATGCTTCGCGAAGAAGCCATGCGTCCCACATCGCTCGCAACAACACCGGTGCTGTCGACGCTGTTGTTGTGACAACACCTTGACCAGAGTCGAGGCAAGTGATTGAAAGTGTTATCTTCATGTTCTAGGCGATGTGCCATCTCGGTTGATGCGGCTGCAGCGCCTTGGAAAAATTACATTTGGGTGGTAGTGGTGGTAGTGACGGCGTTATCTCCATGTTCCAGGCGGTGCGGCATCTCAGTCAATGCAACTACAGCAAATGCAACCTTGGAGAAATTAGGTTTGGGTGTTGGTGGTTTGGTGACGCGACTATAATAGTCCCGATCCGTGGTTGTGACGATCGTGGTGATGTTGTCGAGAGGAGGAGGTGGTAGTTTTGGCGACTGTGGTGGTGTCAGGTGTGTGTGTGGCTATGTTGCTGTGGGTGCAATGGTGGTGGTGGTTTTGGCAACGGCAGTGTTGGTGGCGGTAGTGGTGTTTGTGTTGGAAGTAGTGGTGAGATGGTGGTCGTAAGTATCGGTGGTGGTGACAAATTATTTTGTTGATTGTGATCATTAAATTGGTTAATTTGTGATCAATAAACAATATGTGATCAATAAAAAATATAAATTGTGACAAGTAAATAATATATTACCTAAAAAATTGTTAATTTGTGACCGATAATTTGATAAATTTAAATGTATAATAAGTTGTGATTTATAATATTTGTGAATTCGAACCAATAAATAAATCGTGACTTATAACTTTTTTAATTTGTGATCGATGAATAAACTATGATCTATAAAATTTTTGAATTATGATCGTAAAATAATTTGTGACATAAAATTTATGATTTGTGATCAATAAATAATAAGTGACTAATTAAATTATTAATTTGTAACCAATTTGTATAGATCTGTGATCTAAATATATTTAATTAATAAATGCATTATTCAACTTTTGCCAATCAAATCAACCGTATTTTTTTGACTATCATACTCACAGATAGGCCCGTCAAGGCAGGTAACGATCCAAAAATTTCTAATTATTACCTGAAAATGAGCCCCAAACAGCAAACAGGAGCACAATCCATGTTTGGCAATTTTCGCTGAAAATTATTTAGATCAATAAATTACACATATATCCCTTAGTTAATTTTTTCAATTCATAATTGTTTATTTATAAGTGATATTTTTATATATTATTAAAATTTTTTAAGTGTAAGTTAATATTTAATTCAAAAATTTAAATATTTACTGAAAATTTTAAATTAATATTTTTCATTTATAAATAAAATTTGTAATTACAAGTGCATTTTGCACTTTTAAATAAATTTTACATATAAGTGAATATTTTTAACTTATAATAAACTTTTTATATTTTAAGGGAATTTATCTTGTTAGTAGTATTTTTACTTTATAAATAAATTTTATACAAACATAATTTTTATCTTATAAGTAATTTTTTACTTATAAATAATTTTTTAATTATAAAGTAATTTTTACTTATAATTTTTTTTAGAAAATGAATTTTTATTTACAGGTTAGTTTTGAAACAAAATATGTCGATGGTAAATAGTTATTTTATAGTGGATGCGAAAAATAAACAAAATCCATTAATTTGGTGAATTGAGAGAAACAGTCAAAATTATACTATATTAATTTTGTGCAGTTTAAAAACCACCTAAAATCGGTGCCCCGAAAAACTAATAAATACCAATTTTTCCAACCCCTCATAAATTGTGCCGCAAAAAATCTATCAAAATGGGTGAAAAAAACTCTCAAGAGGCCCAAGGGGGGTAAGGGGGTAAATTTCATTTGCAATTACTGAGAAATCTCAGTTAAATTATTAAACATTAATATATCTTAATTGGATAATTAAATTTCAATTTAGTTCCAAAATTTAGTACTCTGTCATCTAATGTCTTCCAAATAAATGAAAATTACTTAATGGTGTTTACGCTGTAATTAATATTACAGTTAATCGTTGTGGAATTTTGAAAGTGAAGATTATTAAATGTTGATTATGACAGTGCCTTTAAAAAAAAATAGTAAAAAGACATGTTTTTTTCGTTTTGACAGTTTAATGTTGGAACGTAGTGATAAGTTGAGATATTTATAACAATCACGTGGAAGATCCGTTGCTGCCAATTAACCAGTTTGGAAGATGAATTGTTGAAATTTGAAACTAAATGAATTAACTGAAGATTGAAACTGAATTGAAATCTAAGATAAATTAAAGTTTAGTCCTTGTTTGGTACTCATTCTTTTTAAAATATATTTTTCTTTTTTCTCTTTTTAACCACATATTTTTTAGTAAAATAATATTACACGTAAATTTAAAATTTTTCTTTATATTTTAACCAAACATTGCTATCATTTACCATTCAAAAATGCATTATTAGAATATAATGGGGCTCAAACAGACTCTTAGTGACCTAAATATTTCTAAAAATTTAGGCTCCATACGTAATTTACCCTTTCAACACTTGAAAAGATTGGTTTTTTTTTTTTTTTTTTTTGGGTGACTCTTGTCCGACTCGAGGAATGACAGCCTCTCCCCTCGTTCTTAAAATTATGGCAACAAGAGGGG